GGGCACGCCGGCTCTGCTGCAACCTGCTGTGAGTTAGGCACCGCAAGGCCCCCGTGAGCGCAAGGCTTTAGGCGACCGCCTAATCTGCACTTAGGTTCTGTGGACACAAGGGCAATATAATCCTCAGTGGTCTTAAAATGTATCCATCCTGCCCAAGTTGTGTAGTAAGAACTATAGTCATCTTTGGGAGAGTGATGCAGTTCTTCCATCAATCTCAAATCATCAACGCGAGTCAACCATTCCGCCATGGTAGGTATTCGGGGGGAACGCCAATGTTTTGGAATAAGGGCCTTAGCTGCGTTAAGCATGAAGGGGACCACTGTCTTTTTATACGAACGAGCCGAGAGGGGGTTAAGGTGGAAGAGGCAGAGCCAGGTATCTAATGGAGTTGTGATACTACTAATTGAGGTTATGTAATGGGTGATTTATTTCCAGTACTGCTGTATGAGTGGGCATTCCCACCATAGGTGAGCAAATGTGCCCGCCAGCCACATAAGCGCCAACACCTGGGGGAGTTTTCGCTGCACATAGCGTGCAGTGCGGTGGGAACCTGGTACCATCTGGCCATGAGCTTAAACTTAACCTCCATCATGTAGCTATCCGGTGACACAGAGGAGCACATTCACAACAGTTTAGCATGCTGAGAGGGAAGTAATGGATGTCGTAGTTCTTGTTCCCATTTAACCAGGAAAGGTGGAGGCGAGTCTGCTGTGACACTGGCTAGGATCTTATAAGTGACAGAGAGTCCGTGACGTGTGGTTGACCCTAGTAGGGTTTCAAAGGGCAAAAAATGTGGACGTGGACGGAGAGGCCTACTAAGGGACTGGACAAAATGTTGCAGTTGTCTATGTCTTGTCCACCCAATTAAGCAAGGGAATGTAGTTAAAGGTGTACAGATCTAAGAGTCTAGGGGTGAGGTAGATGCTTAGGGAGCGCATGCTGTCTTTCCGCCATAGAAAAGGGAAGTGAGGGATTAAGCTGCGACAGTCAGCTCCCTTTACCGCTATATTCAAGATCTCGGATTTGCCCATATTGATCTTAAAATTGGAAATTTCTCCATATGTGCGCAGTTCAAACAGTATGTGTGGGAGGGAAATCCTGGGGTCCCGTACGTAAAATAAAATGTCATCAGCATATGCTGCTATTTTATATTCAGTGGTAGGAGAGGATATGCCATGGATGTTGGGATGGTTACGTATAGTGGCTAGGAAGGGTTCAAGGGAGAGAACGAATAATAATGGTGAAAGGGGGCAACCCTGGCGAGTGCCGTTGTGTAATGTGAAAGGGGGTGATAAGGTGCCATTCACCTTAACTCTAGCAGTTGGGGAGGAGTATAGCGCAGAGATCCACGCCAGCATCCGGGGGCCCAGTCGCAGGGCAGACAGTGTGGAAAACAGGAATCCCCAGTCAACTCTATCGAACGCCTTTTCGACATCCGTAGATAGGAGCAAAACTGGGGATCCCTGCTTATGGGCTAAATGGATCAGAGACACTGACTTGAGGGCACTATCCCTGGCCTCACTCCCTGGGACAAAGCCCACCTGATCCGGGTGTATCGAGTGAGGAATGAGTGGACTGATTCTGGTAGCTAGGATCTTAGCATAGAGTTTGGTGTCAACATTCATTAACGAAATAGGGCGATAGCTAGGGCAACAAGATGGGTCTTTGCCAGGTTTGGCTAGGAGGGTGATGTGGGCAAGTAACGATTCAGGGCGCATAGGTGAGGAAGTATCAATGGAGTTGGCATATTTACAAAAATAAGGTGCTAGTTCGGTCTGGAAACGTTTAAAATATAAAAGGGGGAAACAGCCGGGGCCAGGGCTCTTACCTAGGTGGGTGGTTCGGATGGCTTGTTCAAATTCTGCTACTGTAATAGGAGATTCAAGGGCCATTAGTGTGTCCCTTGGCTACGAAGGTAGACCCACATTTTGTAGGTATTGAGCAATTTTCTCATGCATAGCCGTGTGTGATGAGGGCGTTGCAGGAGGGCGAACCCTATACAGGTCTTGGTAAAATTCACGAAAAACTCCGGCCATGTCCGTTGTGAGATGGGCCATGGAGGCAGATGTAGTCTTAAATTTAGGTATAAAGGTGGTGGACCGTTTTGGTCGTAGTGCACTCGCCAAATGTTTACCTGGTTTGTTACCTTGAGTATAAAGAAGGAGCGGGTAGCACAGTTACAACTGTTGGTATCTGAAATACATTCATTAGAAGTGTCTCATAAGGCTTCGAATGACCCTGCAACACATTACACACTTACTCTTAAAAGGGTTCACAGTTTTACTGTGATGAATAAGACATTTTATACCGTGATATTTCTAACGCTATATTTAATATTTCATGTTAATTGCAGATGTTACCAAAACTAGTAGCACCAGTGACCAATCAAAAAGAAGTGCAGATGAACCTCAGTCATTAAAAGATACCAGTACACCGACCAAAAAAAGAAAGGTAAAAGCTTAGTTTCCTTTTTTCTCTAATCAAAATCATTTATATGATTTCTGAATTCCTTTTAAGATCTTGTCATGTCAAATAGCAGTTCTCTACTGACACATACCAACTTTTCAACAGCTTGACCCTCATTGTTCTGTTGTATACATTAACTTGAAGAAGCAAAATGACGGTGTACCTGCAAAAGGCCTCCCACTGACCCCCTTATGCGGCTCTAACCAGCGCTCCCTCACCATTCCTTCATTCTCCGCAGCCAGCATTGCCAAGGTAACAGTGTCTCTTTAGATCTATTAGCATTAATTGTAATATACTCATAGAGCATCATTATAACCACTGGAGATGTTGCAATAGCAGATTTTACCAAAAAAAATAAAAATAAATTGCATCTCACAATATTCCCAGCTTTTGTGTGGGGGCAGTAGGTAGTTGTCCGTCATGAAGAAATTGCAGGCACAGAACATCTGAACTGGTCAGGTTAGGCCACTACCATAGATGCACCATTTCACAGACCCACAGCCAGGGTATAAAGTGTCAGATGGCCCAGTTTGCACATGGATAATGGCTGAATATGGAGTAATCAGGATATGATGGATAGTCTAGCTGCAGGTAGGCGTTTTTAAACTCACCTTTAGAAAACACTAATTGCCTGGTTGTCTGTGAAGGTTCTCATTCATCCAGACCATGATATATCTGTAAAAGATTATTGTAGGGTTATTATAACTTAAATTTAGTATTTTTATTCCCTCCATCATCCGACTAGCTTTTTCAATTCAGAATGACTTGTACAAAAATTCTCGGAATAAATATGGATAATGTAGCTCCAGCAACAGATCATTAGATCTGAATAGATCAGATTATGTTGATTGGAGCAACATTCACCATATTTATTCCCAGCAAACTTTTGTACAAGCCATTCTGAAATGAGAAAGCTGGTCGGATGATCAGCAAAACGTCTTCAATAAAAATACAGCAAGCCCAGTTGCCTTGATTTATTTTTTACAGGTAATTGCCTGGCTGTTTTGTTGCTTCCTGCTTCGGGGACTTGTCTAGTCCTGCTCTATGTCTGCCTTTCCCAAAATTGTTATGTTTACTAAAGAAATACTAATTCCTCATGCAGCAAAGAAACAGAAAGAAAAGTAAAACGAACACAGACAGTGACTCTGCCAACTCACTGATTTCACTTATCACTGATCAGGAGGACTCCAGTATTGAAGTTGATGAAAATGATTATGAATGTGAGAGTCTTGCAGCCTCTGTTACTGCAAACACACAACCCACTGCACAAACAATAGAAAATGCTGACACTACCAAGCCAGCTGAAAGTGATGAGGTTAGGACAGAATCAAAAGTTAGCCAGGTCAGAGTACTAAAAATGGACATATCACATACATCTAAAGTCAACTCTTTGGTTGGAGGTACGCAAATTAGTCAAGAGCCGACTCTTCAAAATGAAAGGAAAACTTTGGACAGTGCCATGGACAGAACAAGAGAATCTAACCTCAGCGGAAAAAATAATCTTGAAAAAGAGCATGCTAGTCAAAATGTAAAGAGTAAAGACGGTTCCAAAAATATCTCCAGCAGTGAAAAAGACACAAGTGACACACGTAAACCAAATAAAGACACAAGTAGTACAACACCTGACTTAGATGAAAGAAATCAAATTTCAAATAAATCAGCTACATCTGCAGCAACTCCTGACGTAGACCCAAGAACTGATCCTGAAAAGACCAATAACAAAGTATCACCTGGCAGCAAAAACAAAGAGAAATACACAAAGGTAGATGATTCTACAAATGTCTCAGTCCATGAAGAAAATAACAACAACTCTGAAAAGGCAAATAATGATAATAAAAATACTGGTTATAGCAAAAGATCTGAATCTGAACAGACAACAAAACAACAAATTACAAATGACAGAGAAAAGGAAACTGATGAATGTACTGAGGACAGTCCATCAGCATCCTCTAATACATTGATCCAGAAAGATGAAAATAAAAAACAGGGACAAGGATCTAAAAACGAGAATATGAATCAAAACAAAGCAAAGGAAAAAGAAGATTCCCAAAAAAATGAGAACACTATGGTGAGTTCATACAGAATTGTCTTGTAATTTATGTACAGTAAACTCCCCATTATCTGACATTAAAGCAAGCAGCACTCCCACTACACAGGGGGGGTTGCTTTAGAGTTACTATTAACGCTGAAGTTACCAGTAATCTCCCAATCCCGTGGGATAACTAGAAGTTTACTGTATTGGCGTGTTAGTTTTCTGTTTTGGGGAAACACGTCACTTAGGGATTTAAAACATTAAACAGCTAAATGAAAAACATTCAGTAGTGGGGGCCATAGACCTATAGGATCTATAGATCAGGAGCAGTGAAGTAGACCTATAGAGCTATTAGGAGTAGGTGAATAGACCTTCAGACCTATAGGGCATGTAAATCAGGAACAGTGGAATAGACCTGTATATTCATAAGATCTATAGAGTAAAAGCAACAGAATAAACCTGTAGACCTATAGGTCAAGAGCAGGGGAATAGATCTCTAGGATAGAGGTAGTGATGGGTAAATGTACTTAGGTTTGATTTGCAGGCCATTAATCAAACTCATCATAAATTCAATTCTGAAGATTGCAAGCTATAATCTGAACCCAGTTGAAGTCAATGGTTAGCGAAATTTGAAAATACATTCTGGCTATTTCCAAGGCTAATGGTGATTGTCAAACAATGGGCATGGGGAGTTGGGCACTGCCATGGGTAACATGCACCAATGCAAAACAAAAAAAGTCAGTGTTTGGCAGGGAAAAGATCCTCCTTTATATGCGTCTTTCAGAATGACATAGGAAAGACACCATTCCTTTTTAATACATGTTTGGGGGATGCTTTTGAGCTGTATGCAGGATTACAGTATAGTACAATTCTCACTGTGTTCTGTTATCACATATTTTGCATGTGTGGCTGATTTTTTTTAAAGTTTACATTTAGTTTGACATAAATACAGCAGCAGCACCCCAATCTGATTCATTTCAACTTGAAAAAAAATCAGGCTTCTTTAGGTAGTTTTTGCTGCAACAACTGATTTGTAGCTAGCAGTATAAGGCCAGAATTGAGCAGTGGAAGAAGTAGCCACAACCGATCTAAAAGCTTTTAAAAAAGTAAAGCTAAAGCCCTTTACAAAAAGGAACTCCATAATATTGTATGGAATCACGTGCACAGTATTTAGACACTTGTTTTAGGCTGCATTTTGAACAGGTGGGACAATAGCAAACTTTAAATCCTAAAATCAAATTTAGAGCGTATTATTTCATAGAATAAAGCCAGCAAAATAGTGTACTGACTCAATACACAGTACTAAAAATTAACCCTTTGCAGTGAGGCTACCCCCACAATGCAAGGGGTTAAGTGTTCGCTTTGGTCTATTGCCTAAAAAAAAAAATTATACTAACCTGATTTGATCTGGCAAAATATTATTTCTGCTCCTTCCACTCCTTTGCAAACTGCCCCTGCCCCTGGATGAAATCTAGTGCACCTCTATTGTGCATTTCCCTTCCTTTCCTTCTCTACAATCCCAGACACCCAGGTACGCTCTGCCACCGCATCGTCCACTCCCCCCACCCTCCTAATTGCTCGAGTCCACTTGGCAGTAAGCTGAATCTGCAGGAACATCAATAGAAATTGCTGCTTCTTGCCTGTTGTCCCCTCCCTCTGTGCTCCTCAAACTCTCTTCCACAAAAACAGATACAATTCATTCCTGTGCATCCTCCAGCATCAAGTTACGGATGTAACCTCAAATAATTCAGTCAACCCCTCCATGCCAATTTGTGGGGCAACGGATTTGCTGTAGAAGAGGAGGAAGAAAAGGGGACATTTGCAGTTGTTGCTGAAAATACGCTGCTTTGCACCAGGGAGGAAGAGGATAGGGAAGGCTTTATTATTCCCTCTACAACCCCTTCATTGTGATCTGACTGTATAGCATGCCCACTCCCAGAAAGAAATGGTAAATGTGTCCTGCATCTTAAAGGTGCAATTCGACTACCGTTTGGTCCTGCAGATTCAGAAACTGCTCATCCCACACTAGCTGTGCATGAAGAACCTCTGCCTCTCCCTTTAGGCCCCCCAGACATAATAAATACAGGGGATAGCCTAACCTTTTTAGCAGCACTAGGGGGATTGAGGATGTGGTGATATGGTTCTCTTAACTGCAGTGCACTAGTATGCGGTGATGGGCTACAAACAATAGATAGTTTTGCCTGTGCCAGCAGCAAGTTCACAAGTTCACATAGGTGAGCACCAAGAAAAAGTAAGAGACCCTAGTTAAAATTATATTAAAATACCATATGCCTTCCTCAAAAAACACCAACTAAAACACTATACCCAAAAACACCAATCCTAAAACACTAAACCCTTTTTTTTTTTCTTTTAAGGGTTTTCCATAACCTATCACAGAAATATAAAAAACATATTAAAATGAAAGAAAAGAAGATCCCTAACAAGAAAAGTTGTTGCTGACATACCCGCAAAAAGGTAGTCCTCAAAAGGACTATTGGGTCTGTGCTCTGTGAATGCAACGGGTGGTATTCATGAATGTTTAACCCACCAAAATACAATTCCCATTAATGTTGCACAATACAGCATAGTGTGTATGGGGGATGTTCACTACATATGATGTAGCTCACTACACTGCAATTCACTGTAATGTAGCACAATACAGCACTATTTATAGCATTATTTAGCTCTGTATATAGCAATGTATAGCAGTATCTCTCTTTTCCTAAAAACACTCTGTCCTCTGGCCAGGAATTACATGATTGGTCATTGGTTGCTACAGTGGGAAACACATCAGTTTGTGATTTTTCTAGTTGTGAACAGCTAGATTTTGGCTCGTGGCTCATCCCTAAATATATATCAGAAACTTGAGAATCTACTTGCAAACTTTAAGGAACGGTTAGGAGCAGAGGAATAGACCTGTACTTAAACAGGATTGATAGTTCAGGAGCAGGTGGCTAGACAGGTAGAACTGTAGGACATGTAGGTCAGGAGCAGGGAAATAGATTTGTAGACTTATAAATCAGGAGCAGGGTAATAGACCTGGAGCAGGGTAAAAGACCTGGAGACCTGGAGCAGAGGAATAGACCTGTAGTTAAACAGGATTGATAGGTCAGAAGCAGGTGGTTAGACAGGTAGAACTGTAGGACATGTAGGTCAGGAGCAGGGAAATAGATTTGTAGACTTATAAATCAGGTGCAGGGTAATAGACCTGGAGCAGGGTAAAATACCTGGAGACCTGGAGCAGAGGAATAGACCTGTAGTTAAACAGGATTGATAGGTCAGAAGCAGGTGGCTAAACAAGTAGAACTGTAGGACATGTAGGTCAGAAGCAGGTGAATATAATGTAGACTTATAGAGATCAGCGGCAGAGTAATAGACCTGGAGACTTATAGGTCAGGAACAAGGTAAAAGATCTGCAGACATATGGGAACAGTAGGTCAGGGACGGGAAACCTGATCTGTTTTCTATAGGGCCTGTAGCTCAGAAGTGGGGAAATCGAGCTCTAGACCTAAAGGTCAGGAGCAGAAGATAAAAACTGTAGAGCTATGAGGCATATAGGTCAGGAGCAGGATAATAGCTCTGTCTCCCTGCTTCTACGAAAGCTCCCATTGACCAACTGTGCCCTTCTCCCCTGCTTACACACCTGTTGTGGATTGGGAGATCAGGGCTGTGCTTTTGGTACCCATATGTTGCTGCTACTGATGTGTGTGACTCGCTAACTCCATGACTTGGGACAGCAGATGAGTCTGCTGAGAAGGAATGAGCAGTGCAGAAGTGGCTAATAGTAATTTATCCTCAACTAACGTCTCTTCAGAAATCTCCCAGACTCAGGGGAGATGAAAGGTTCCTAAGGTTAATGGTCAACCATAGCTTAACAAATCTTAAAGTGTATATCAGGAAAAAAAACCCCATATGCAGTAAATCTCCACAATGCATGCACATTTCCCTATGTTTTACAGACCCCTAAAGCACCGAAAAATGCATGTTGGTCTGCCAGAAATGCACTGTAGCACAATGTCCTGTTGTCTGACAACATGCAGCATTTTTGTGGACTGAATGGTGTCAGCTCTGCATAGTGCCTTTTGCTAAAGTACTCAACAATTTCACTCTTAAATCTCCACAACATAAAGACTAAGCATTTTCTTTGAGATAACACTGGAAGTGTGCACAGGACCGCTTTGAATATATGACAACACCAACAGGTATAGTTATTTAATAAAACAGATCTAACAAAATATATTGTTATATTTAATTAGGCGAAAGATACCACATAAGAGAAGCTCATCTGGGTTTACAGATAAATTAATTGCATCGCTTTACTGCTCAATATCTCTTTTTACCTCATAGCTACTATACAGTATGTCTCCCAGGGCCCTCCCCTGGTCTACAAGCGGAGCGGATGTGGACGGGTTTTGAAGTTGAGCTGAGATTCATAATAGGTTATAGTTAGAGGCTTAAATTAATACAAAGTTTGTTTAGACCAGTTTTTCCTTTATCTTGCTTGTAGTTTAGATGTAAACCATAGCTTAAATAATTACAATAATTAAAAATAAGTGGGAAATAATAATAAAATAAATAATAATGTTTTTCATTTTTTTTATTTTGTTAACCAGAAGGTCACAAATGCTTCAAACCTGCAAAGTGGAGCTGGACAAAAATCAAATAAACAAAAGGCAGATAACGAAGAGGAACAAGAAGCTATTCGAAGGTGCAGTATGCTGAAATTCTCTTAGGGTCATGTCAAATGGGCAATTCTGTACCTGGCAACACTTCACCAGAATTGCTAAAGTTCAGCTTATACTGTATTTCTTTATGGAGTCACTCCATCACTTGCTGAGCTATAGTTTTGTCTCTTCTTTGCTGTTTGATTTGCTAGCAAACGAGTTAGAAGGTATTGTAACCTGTATGGAAATGAGATGTGTACAGCTTAGCCTGTTAATTCTTTTTTTCCAAAATATCTCTTTATTAGTTTTCCAAGTTTCACATATCACATAAATACAGATGCCAAAACAAAGAGAAAAAACAAACAAAAAAACCCAATACATATCCATATAATTAACAAAATACAAACATTATATAATATCGCAGTCATTCCATTCCTCTACCTTCATAGTTCCGTCTAACCAGAAACAACATATAACAATAATACAATAAAAACTTTCTTCCAGACCCAAGAGTACAGATAACAAAAAACAATGCATATCCCTCTAACTAAGAGAATAAATATATTGTGTACTAACGCAGTCCTTCCATTCCTCAAGATTAAAAAAAAAAGAAACGAAAAAAAGAAAAAGAGAGGAGAGTCAAATCCAATCCAATCCAAGGGAGGTTTGCCCAGCAATGATCCCTATAAGTATGTGAGGATCTTCTGTGAACTCATATAATCCCTCCAGGGGCTCCACCTCTCGCCAAATTGCGTATGTCTCATATATATGAGCTATAAGCTCTTCAGATCTCATCACATTGTTTAATTCTTCAGCCCATTCCGATATCTGAGGGGAAGTCGTTGATTTCCAATGTCTAGGTATCACTGTCCTTGCAGCTGCGAGAATAGGGCATAGAAGACCCTTTTTCAATACCGCAAGCGAGCCATGGTGTAGAGACAGAAGAGCCACCTCAGGTGTCTCCAAACCATGGAGTCCCCTTAACTCCTGCGCTATCTCCAAGATTGATTTCCAATAGGTTCTTATTAACTGGCACGCCCACCAGATATGCAACATTGTCCCGTCTTCCCCAGAACACCTCCAGCACAACTTGGAATTCTTAGAGTTCATCTTGTATAAGTTATATGGGCATCTATACCACCTTGTTAGTACTTTAAAATGTCTTTCCTGTGTTAAGGCAGAGATGCTTGATTTAAAGGTTAGAAAAAAAATCTTCCTCCATTCATCCTCTGTAAATATATGTCCCAACTCTCGTTCCCACACTTTAGTATAATAAGGGAGTGTTGGGTACCTCTGTTTTAATATTAAGTTATATAACTTGGACACCATGTGTTTATCTCCTGCCTTGTTTAAACATATCTCTTCAAAAGGAGATAGGTCCCTAAGCACGCTCTCTTCTATAGGGAGTCCATTATAGAAGTGATTCAGTTGGAAATAATCTCGCCTGACCAGCGCGCCGCTGACTCATCCCTGCTCCCCTGCTCCTGACTGGCCGCTGCAGGGTTTTTTTTTTTCTTCTTACTTACCTCGCCGAGCGTCGCGTCACTGCTGCTCCGGTGGGCGGCGCTCTGAGCGGGGTCATCTCACAGTCTCCGGCCACCTAAATTAGGACCCGGAGACTGCCAGATGACCCCGCTCGGCGACGTAAGTAAGAAGAAAAAAAAAAACATAGCGCAAGCTTCGGCGCTAGGCTTCGGAACATTTTGACAAGTACAAGTACTTGTCAAAATGCCCGGTATCGGGCCTGATTCCGATGTTAGCATCGGTATCGGGACATCCCTAGTTAATACGATAGTTGCTGACCTTCCCAAATTCCTGTATCTCATCCAAGATCGAGGGGAAGGCTAGCCTTGGATTAGTTACATATAGAAGTAGGTCATCAGCAGAGATACTGAGTTTATGGGAGCTTTCATTTACTTTCATCCCCCAGATATTCCCATTCTAACGGAGGGCTATTGCCAGGTGTTCCATTACTATAATATATAGCATGGGGGACAGGGGGCATCCCTGTCTTGTCCCATTTGTAATTTCCAACCTATCCGATAGTATCCCATTTACACGTATCCTCGCAGATGGGCTTGTATACAGTGCCATAATCTTTGAGACTAGGGATATCGGTATTCCTATCTGTTCTAAAGATATTTTAATACATTTCCAATCCACCCTGTCAAAGGCCTTCTCTGCATCTAAAGAAAGTAAGCATAGAGGGATTTCTCTCGACTGGGCTTGTTGGATCAGAGAGATAGTTTTGATGGTGTTATCCCTCGCTTCTCGCCCGGGAACGAATCCTGCCTGCTCTGGGTGAATTATCTCCTTTTAAATATGGTTGTATACGTAGAGCCAAAATTTTAGCATAGATCTTCATGTCTACGTTTTATTAACGATATCGGCCTATAACTCGCACACTGTGTCGGATCCTTTTTAGCTTTTTGTATTAATTTTATATATGCCTCTTGGGTCTGACATGGAAACCCACATCTGTCACCAATAGAATTGAACACTTCCAATAATATTGGAGCCAGTACTTCAACAAATTGTCTGTAAAAGCGCCTGTTAACCCGTTGGGCCCCGGACTTTCCCCGTCGGTAGTGAGTGAATTACTTCTATTATTTCTTCCAGTGAGAATGGGGTATCCAGTTTATTGATTGCTTCATTATCTGGTCTGGGCGAGGGGGGGTCTGATACACATACTCTAGCTTCTCCTTTTGTTCATCTCTCCCCTCTTTTCTTGTTTTATAAATCATTGTAGTAATTATGAAATGCTTCAGCAATATTTTCTGAGGAATTAACTATACCCCTGTGTTGGCAATTCATTTTTGGAATATATGTTCGGCCCTGTTTCTCCTTTATCGAACGTGCTAGAAATCTACTACTTTTATTTCCAAATTCATAGATAGTTTGTTTCACTGTGTCCTTATACCTTTGATACCCCAGATCTATTCTTTGATGTAATTCAGTCCTCTTTTGCTGGAGACTATTGTAGACATTTATGTCTGCATTCTTTTTATGCTGGCTCTCCAATTGGTAAATCTCATCCCGGGTGGTATTTAACCTCCTGTTCTTTTTAATCGTGTCCCATGGGATATGAGTATTCCTCGTATTACCCCTTTCAAGGTTTCCCATTTTATTGGTCGTGCTGTGTTATCGTTTTTATGGTCGATTAAAAAATTTGCAATACCTTGCCTAATGGCCTCCTTTATCGAGTCATCTTGTATTAAATTTTCATCCAGTCTCCATGTCGCACTCAACTTCATGGTATTCGGGGGTGTTTTAATAAAGAATATGAGTGCGTGGTCTGACCATATTTGTACACCTATATCAGCTTGTATCTGCCAACTAATTAAGCAATGGGACACAAAAAAGTAATCTATCCTACTGTATGACCTATGTGATGGTGAGTAACATGTATAGTTCCTTGCTCTAGGATGTAATATACGCCAGCTGTAGGCTCTGTAAGCGTTGTTTTAGTCTATTGAGCTGGGTATATGGGCTGTATCTTTAGACGTGTCTGCTTTCGGGTCCATTCGGGTTGAAGTCCCCCCCTACCACCAGAATTCCTTCCATGAAATCACCCAAAAGGTTAAGTATCTTTACTAATGTCGTCATCTGGCCTTTGTTGGGTAGATAGATGTTAACGAGTGTGTACTGTTTGTTAAATATTTTACATTTAACAAAAAGAAAACGCCCTACCTCATCTCCCATTTCCTGGACCTCTACTACCGGTAGTGAGACATGAAAACCTATAGCCACACCACGAGATTTACTCTGGGTGTAGTTACTCATACACCATTTAGGATAGTATCCAGTAGAGATTTTCGGGGTTAAAGAACTTTTAAAATGCGTTTCTTGAAAGAAAAGGACCCCTACTCGTTAAGTATGCATATCATATAATACCTGGGATCGTTTTTGTGGAATATTGAGACCCCTCACATTTAGGGATCCAAACTTAATACTATTCATCAGATCTATCTTCCCCACCTTTAAGAAAAAGTATTGGTAATTGGTATCGGCGAGTACTTGAAAAAAAGTATCGGTACTCGTACTCGGCCTTAAAAAAGTGGTATCGGTGCATCCCTACCTATAATCATTTTTCTTTTATTTCGATCTCCCTTCCTCTTCACTAGTTGTTGGTCGTGTTTTACACCTTTATCTCTATACACCTCAGAGTGCCCTAAGAACATTGCATGGAGACCCCCATACCAGTTAAACCCCCAGCCAATCCTCATCCTTGACATGGAAAACAAACACAACATAAAAAACACTAAAAACAACAACAACAAATCAATCATCCCTGGCCTCCGTAAATTACCGAGCCTTTGCCAGTTATACCGGCTTCTATCCTTGGGAGGTAACTCTAGCAAGGGTAGGTCCCATGCCCTTTTTCCTTTTCCATTTCTTCCCCAGCTTTTCTCTTATTCTTATTATCTTCCTTTTATTAATTTATATATTTTATATTTTATTTTGGGTGTCTCCTATTCCTTGGTTCCCATTCCCTCCTCTCCCCTCCTTCCTAAACTGATCTACAAATAATTTTCCAACTGACCCCCCCCTCCCACCGCTTCCGGCCCGCACGCACCTAATCGGTGCCCGTCTGGTCAAGAGCGGCATGGAGGATTGGTTCGGAACGGGACAGAGAGAGAGAGAGAGAGAGAGAGAGAAGGAAGGAAAAAAAAAAAAGTTCTCCCTTCCCCCCAGTCTCCCCACTTCAATAATTTCCCTTATTGTGTATCTGTGTCCAACGTTTGACCACAGCTTCAGGGACAACAGCAAACAATTAACTTCAGTGATCACATTGTTATATCTCTCATCTCCTGTTAATTCTTATTCCTGCAGGGAACTTAATCCTGAGGACTGTATCACACTATATTTCCATGTCATTGTTTCCAAACATTTTAATGTGAAAACCAACGAGGATAAGGTGATAGTAAAAGGTGGAGGGATTAAAGGCTATAGACCATGGAAAGATGCCATCTGCACGATGAACTACACAGAGTAAGTTACCTGATTTATTTTTCTTATGTGTGATTGGGGTTTAGCTATTGAGCTCAGTAAACAACAGAATACTTTTACCAGAGGAGCTAAGGAGACTCAGAGAGCATGTGAATGGAGCTAACCACTATATATAAGCAACTGTTTAAGGTATGCAAAATAATGATCTCTTTCCTTTAAAGAAGTCTCACTTTGTAGTATTTTTCACAGATCACTTTTTGACAGTTCACTACTTCTTTATTCCCAGCCACACTCTGCAAAAGGAGCACAGGGCCGTCTTTAAAGCAGGGTAAAAGGGGCAGTTGTCCCGGGCCCAGCCATTGTTGTGGGTCCCAAATCAGCTGCCCCTTGAGCCCGCAAAAGATACACACACGGCACTGGTGGCACTACCAGGGTTGAAGCGGTCAGCTCCCCCCTTCCCTCTAGGGATGCTATTCAAAGTGAATAGCAGACCTTAATGCTGCATACCTCAATAGACAAAAAAAGTGCCATAGTGCAGGGAGAGTGATTGATTCCTAACCATATGTAATTGTATCACATATGATTACATGCGGTATTCCAGCACACTGCCGTTTTCAAATGCGACCGCTATCGCCTGACCAATAACTTAAACAGGTGACAGCTGCCCCTTGTAAATGGCATATCTGGGGATTCCTGCTGCAGGAATTTGCAAGTCCATGAGGTAGGAATTCCTAAACACATCTACTTTGTGTAAACAAAGACAAGAAATTATTTATTGAAAAATGCAAAATGTTTGAGTCACAACTAAAATTGTAAGTTCAGCTTTGTACCAAACAAATAAAAAACAAAAATAACATAGTTCAGCACATTTTTAAAAATATATTATAGTTATTCCCAGTACAGGCAGTCCCAGGGTTACGGACGTCCGATTTACAGACAATCCGTACTTACGAACCGGGTCCACAGTTCTCCTAAATGTACCGGCAACTGCCGATACATTTAGGACAACTGTGGCTGCAGCGGCCTGTGTCCCTTCAAATCCCAGCTGCTCTCTGCGCCTGTGTTGGCGGAGACAGCGGGGACACAGACCGCTGCATGCCTTCGCTGCCCCCCGTACCTCTGCTGCTGTCTCCTGGTCCCCTGGTCCGTCGGCTTCTTCTCCAGTCTGGTCTGGCCGCGGCTCCTCTGCCCCGCCCCCCTGCCTCCTCTTCATTGCAGGTTGGGAGCCATACCCAGCCTGCTATTGGATATTGTAAAATGCAATAGCCAATAGCAAGCTGGCTATTGCAGCCGCCCACTGCCTGCTGTCAATCAGCATGGGAGGACCTGATAGAGAACTTTCTCCTTCAGGCCCCTCCTCTGCTGATTGACAGCAGGCAGATGCAATAGCCAGCCAATTTGAAATATCCAATAGCAGGCTGACTATTGCTCCCAGCATTAAAATAAAAAAAAAAGTTAAAAAAAATAAAATTTAAAAAGACAAAAACATGTAAAAAGAAGTTACAAGAAATAAAAATTAAAAATGCAAACAAAAAAAATGAAGTTTATTAAATAAAATAAAAAATATAATTTTTTTTTTTTGGCTGTAGTTACACTTAAAAAATGTACCTGTTCCGACTTACATAGAAATTCAACTTAAGTAAAAACCTAAAGTCCCTATCTTGTATGTAACCCGGGGACTGCCTGTATACCTTTTGCTTCTGCCTTTATAAAATGTTAAAGTACACTGTTTCTCTTTTCGTTGTCATATGCATTGTTAAACATTTAACAGAATAAGAACCATAAAAAATAGGTGGTAATAGCAGACAAGAAAATCCAAAGTAATAAAAGAACATGTTGTACATGAAAAGAAATGTTCACGTGTGTATCCCTCTATTCCCCTGGTACACTATTTCTCTTTGATATAAATGTCTTTTTTTCAGAGACCTCAAGCATCATGGTTTCCTGTATGAAGGGCAAACTCGAGTTCCCAAGGATTGTTTGGATAGACCCATCGCATACAAGTATGTTATTGTGCAGGCAAATGGGAAAGAGGAGTATGAATATATCTATAATGCGGATGAAGAAAAAACTGTGAATCGTTGCCTGCATATTCAGTCCAAATATGTGCAAGGAAAAGGTAAGATTACTGTAAAAAATTCAAGATTTGCTTTTGAGATTGCAGTGTAGATATTCGAAATACAGGTGAAACTCGAATAATTAGAATATCGTGCAAAGTTCATTTATTTCACTAATGCAACTTAAAAGGTGAAACTAATATATGAGATAGACTCATTACATGCAAAGCAAGATAGTTCAAGCCGTGATTTGTCATCATTGTGATGATTATGGCTTACAGCTCATGAAAACCCCAAGAACCCCAAATCCACAACCTCAAAAAAGTAGATTATTACATGCAATCAATAAAACAAGGATTGTACATAGAACAATATCGGACCTCTGAAAAGTACAAGCATGCATATGTACTCAGTACTTGGTTTGGGCCCCTTTTGCAGCACTTACTGCCATTACTTTTGCATGATATTCTAATTATTGGAGTTTCACCTGTATATGCTTAATGCTTACTTTTAATTAACTTGACGAATTTATACTTTACTTTTTTTCAGAGTGGCATCAGTATGATGATGTGTGTATGAAGGAAGATCATGGGTTAATGGCAACGCTAAGGAGCATAGTCAAAGATAAATACAAAGATATCTTTAATGGAAAGATGATGGCTGGTGAAGTCATGCTCAGCAGGATTTTCAGTATTCTCACAGACTGTGATGCCATCAATATGTCCAATTTCCTAATCCAGCTTCATCAGTTGAATGTCGTGTACGCAGAGCCACTTTTGATTGGAGGAGACAGAGTAATATCATGGAAGAATCTTAAATTTGGAGTTCCTCAGGTAACTGATTTATATACACTACTTTTGTCTTTGAGAGGTTAATATTTTTCATTTACAGATTTATTTTGTAAAGCTAGTTAGAATAGCGAGAGATTAAAGGATATCTAAACTCAAGAACACAAATATAATGTAGTGCAGCTGACAAGTCCCGAGATGTGGTGGCTACATTTTGTTTTCTTTGTTCATGCTAAGCACATTTTCTGCAAGTACAGAAAATACATGTTTATCTTGCCAGAAATGCTCTTGTCACTTCCTGTGAGCTGATCTGATATATCAAAGAATGGTATCATTTTTCTCAGTTATGTTCTGTTAACTACAAAAGAAAGTCTTCCTATGTAATGGAGAGGATAGGATTTGTCGTTCAAATCAGGAGAGCAGCGTAGGGTGACAACCCTGCTCTTCCATAGGCACAGTACAGTGGGTGAGCATTGTCACTCTAATACAGGAAGTGTGTTACTGGCATTATCACCAAGTGAAGATAAAGGAAAAATGCCTGATAAATAGGGAACAAATACATCCAAGGACTGGTAAGTTGCAATATATGGAATTTTTGTTTTCAGGCTCCTGTACATGATCATTAGAATTACTGTAAGAAGTGAGTCAAATGCAGTTGCTTTGCATTTAAGTTGCTCAAAGCATTGTTTCAAGTGCATCTAATGCCTGATTTTAACACACATGTGAAAGATGCCTAGCAATGGATGCTACTCCTTGATGTTAGAGGCCACTTTCACATGTGTGTTAAAATCAGGCATTAGAGAAGCGTTTTTTAAAGCCTCTCTGCCGCCTATTAACGCTCATGTGGGATAGTGCAATAGCAACTGCCCAATGCTGTTCACACACGAGCGATAGCGTTTTGTTGCTGTGTGTTAAAAAATAGAGTGCACGTCGCGTTCTAGAGACATTGATGCTAGACAAATGCCTCCATTAAAGTATATTGAAAATCCACTTAAAGTAAACTATGCAGTTAGGCCTTTTCCCCATAGTTCTCCTAAGAGTAACGGAAGGACACAAACTAGTGTCCTCCCGTCACCCAAAGCTCAGTATAAACGAGCTACAGCTCGCGGTATACTGAGATGCCGCAGCCAGAACATATCCCGACAATTATGTCTGGATCCACCCAGCTGCGTGAGTGACAGCTGGCTCTGCCTATCTAGAGGCAGAGCCAGCTGTACCCGTCCCCTCCCCCGTCCGTTCCGCCAATCAGCGCTGGAGGATCGGACAGGGGAGGGGGGAATCCAGTCCCTCCACTGTCACGGCTCTCTGTTGGCACAGGATCGAGAAGTGAGCGAGCGCCGGTATGTGTTCGCTCACTTCCCGGTCTACTGAGCCGACCTGTGACAGTTTCATTGTCACAGGTCGGCTCAGATTATGAGGCTGAGTGAAAATCACTCACCTCATAATTCTCCTTTAAAAGATCAGAAGATCTAATAGAGCATTTTTCCGGCATTTAAGAAGCATTGCACATGTCTTTTAAGAGAGGCATAGGAGGTTTTGCAATCCCAGAAACCTCTGGGGAATCAGAGTGAGTGAACAGAGAAGGTGCAGATGCCACTACCTGTCTGCACCCAGCTAGCATTTTGCCAGCAAGAGGACAGCTTCTAGCCAAGGTACTTGCAACCTGTGATAGCCTGACCTATGCCACCCTGTAGTACCAGCTGTTATCAATGTCATCCAAAGCAGTGCCGACCATACCAGTGGCAGCTTAGCAGTGCCAGCCACACCATTGCCAGGCATTACAAGTACCAACCAGAACCAATCATCTCCGGAATAAATGTTGCATGGCTAATTCAAGCTGTTGAGCAACACCCAGAATTGTATGACTCAAGTCTGCCCAACTACTGCAACTCTTATTAATATAAATGCAGCAAATGCAGCAATACACTGCACAGAAAACTAAAAATATGCCTGCAAATTTCACAACAGCCTAAGCACACCTCAAAGCTGGTCACTTCCCTTTATCACATCACTTCCCCTTTAACACTCCCCTAGTTGCAGGGCATTTTGCAAACATTTTTGACGCCTCCTTAATGCCTTGAAAATGCCTGCCAAATGCCTTGTTAACACTATAAGCACGATAATTCACATTGCCCTTTCATTAAATTCTCCGCATGCGTGAAAGAACCCCAAAAGTTTGAGTTTCCTGCAGAATCAGCTTGTCCCCTGAGCACTGACCCTGACTTCCTGTTTTGGGGGAGTGATGCATCAGATCAACATGGATACCTTTATAATTATGTTTATTTAGACTATGCATGTTGATGTTTTTATCTTTAATGTGATTTTAACAGGAATGCACACAATACAATATGATTTTTTAATACAAATTTAAGTGGTCATGTTGGTGCGTAAAAAGTCCATTGTTCGTTGCTCTCTTGTATCCATATATATTAGGATGTGGCACTGTCTGAACCACTGTACACCCTTCTACTACTTATATCTTTCTACTCCACAACTCACCCCCCAATGTCCTTGCGTGTCACTAATCTACTAACTGACATATCAGGCTGGATGTCGCAACACATCTTAAAACTCAACCTTTCAAAACCTGAGCTCATGATATTTCCTCCTGCCCGTGCACCTTCCCCCAACTTTTCCCTTAAGATTGTTAACACAACTATCCACCCCTCCGCCCATGCCAAGGTCCTAGGTGTCATCATTGACTCGGACCTCACCTTTCTTCCCCAAATCCAATCACTATCCAAATCCTGCCGCCTTCAACTTCGTAACATCTCCAAAATACGCCCCTTCCTCACCAAATAAACCACAAAGCTGCTCATCCACTCCCTTGTTATATCTCATCTTGACTATTGCAACTCCCTCCTCATTGGCCTACCTCTACACAGGCTACCCCCCCTTCAGTCTATCATGAATGCAGCTGGTAGACTCATCCACCTAACTAACCGCTCAGTGTCTACAACCCCCCTCTGCCAATCCCTCCACTGGCTTCCAATAACACAAAAGATACAATTCAAAATATTAACAACCACTTACAAAGCCATCCACAACTCAGCCCCCGGAGGTGTTTGCAGGGCAGGCTAAAAGGCTGCTCCTCTATAGATACAACGCAGTGAGTTAGTGTTGTCACAGGATAAGAAGTGGATTACTGGCAGAATCACCACGGATAAAAAGAAAAAAAAACAACTGAAAAAAGAAAACTAAAACAGGATAAAATTCAAAATATTAACAGTCACTCATAAAGCCTTCCACAACTCTGCCCCCGGATATATCTCAAACCTTGTCTCAATGTATCACCCTAACCACCCCCTCCGCTCTTTCAAAGACCTCCTGCTTTCCAGCTCCCTCTTCAACTCCTCCCATACTCGCCTCCAGGAGTTCTCTAGAGTCTCTCCCATCCTCTTGAACTCTTTACCCCAACCTGTCCATCTATCTCCCACTCTGACTGCCTTTAGGCGATCACTAAAGACTCAACTCTTCAGGGAGCCTATTCTGCCTCAACCTAACCACTGAACCATCACATTCTCAAACAATTCATCCCCACACAGCTACCTCCTCATGTATCACTCCCCCCTCCCCTTTTAGATTGTAAGCCCTCACGTGCAGGGTCCTCCTTACTATCTTGTCTTGTATTGTAATGTCTTCCTTATATTGTTGGCGCCATTGAAATCCTGTATAATAACAATAATAATAATAATATATCTTTAAAGGAGCAGTATTGCCACACTAGGACATAACTATAGAATACCTCCCTCTCTTCTTCTCCTTAACATTGGGGTTGTTCTGTAGTCCATAGAGATGTCTGGGAACAAGGGTATTGATCACTGCAGGCAGAGACAGAAAGCACATGAAATGATCAGCTCACACGATCAACAGGTTTTTTTGAGGAAATAAGATAAGTTAATTGATAGGGTTTACATACACTATAAGGGTCTGTGTTTTGAGCTTGTGTTTTGTATGGGAATATAAATCCTGTCCCATGAGAACAAAAGCCTGATGATACAGACCTTGAGAGAGACATTTGGGGCACCCTCCTGACTGTGCTGTCTCCCAGAGGTATATGGATTCCAAAAATGGCTGTACATAGTTAGAAAAAACATTTAACAGGTAAGTCAGTCAACATATACTATATGTATTTTTCAACTGTATATTTAGTTGCTTTCCTGGAGCTGAGCTTTAACATAATTTTCCATATCGACATTAAGGGCCAATTCTGATAATATATTACAGTATCCTTGCTTTTATAGAGAATTGATAGTGATTTATTTTTTCCCCCCCGACACCTAGGTAAAAAAACTCATCTTGAACATTCTTCGTCAAATCTGTGAACCTTTCCTAGATAGAAAAAAACTACCAGCAGAGTACATTAAAAACCGATTGATAGCTGGTTTGGTCTGTATCCTCGTAATAAAGCATTTTATTATTACCATTGAGAGAGCCGATATTGTAGATATATGCAGTGTTTTGTGTTTGGATGAAATGCCCAAAGACAAGATGATTGACGAACTTCGTAGAGCAAAAGCTACATTCTGTAAAATCTCAGGGTAAGTCATTCCTGCATTACATGCATTTACTCAGAAACCAGCTGACGTGTACTGTTTTGTATTTGTTCTTTAACTGTTCTCATTAATGTGACAAGCACACATACTGTATGTCATAAAGTAGACCTGCAAAGAGAGACTATGGTCTAATAAAACATTTTTAGATAAACCTGGTAAAGTGGTTCGCTTAAAGAGAATCAGTCAGCAGTGAGTGTTTGAATATTCATAATGTCCACCCTTTTATTGTTAAAATAGTGCAGCCTTTCCACTCATAGCTTACTTTTATTCTTAAAGTGGATCTAGCATAAAGGGGACTGAGGGGATGTCTTTTCCAGCCTGTAGCAGACTGATAACATAATTCTAGCCTAGCTTATTGACTGGAGATCAAAGACTTCTTTGTATTGAAAAAAAGGCTGATTTATTTAAATAAAAGAATATAATGACATAGTTAGTCAGGTTGAAAAAAGACAAACGTCCATCGAGTTTATATATATATATATATTTGTA